TACCCGCCTACCCACCTACCCATCTACCCACCTACCCTGCCTGCCCACCTACCCACCTGCCAACCCACCCACGCGCGCACGCTCGCTCGCGCCCATGCCATGCGCGCGCGCACGCACGCACGCGCGCGCACGCGCGCGAGCACGCGCGCTCCCCCCTACGCACAGACAGACACAGACGGAGAGAAATACAGACAGAGACGCGCCCGCCCGCCCGACCGCCTGCCCGCGCGCGCGCGCGCCCGCGCACCCACGCCTTCACGCACCCACGCACGCACGCACGCACGCACGCACTCACGCGCGCGCACACGCGCACGCGCGCACCCACGCACGCGCACGCGCGCATGCATGCACGCGCGCACCCACGCACGCGCACGCGCGCATGCATGCACGCACGCACGCACACACGCACGCGCGCACGCATTACGCGCGCGCGCTCGCGCACGCACGCGCGCGCGCACGCGCGCAATCGCGCGCGCAGTCGCGCACGCGCGCGCGCGCACGCGCGCACGCACGCGCGCACGCACACACGCGCAAACGCGCACGCACGCACGCGCGCACACGCGCACGCGCACGCACGCACACACGCACACGCGCACACCCACACACGCACACACGCACGCGCGCACGCGCGCCCTCACGCCCGCGCCCACGCACCCACGCAGACGCACACCTCCACACGCACTCGCACACACGCACACCCGCACACGCACGCGCACGCGCACACGTGCACGCGCATACGCACACACACACACACACGCGCACGCACATGCACATGCACACGCCGCACGCGCACACGCACGCGCAGACGCGCACTCACGTGCGCACGCGCACGCGCGCGCACGCGCGCACGCGCGCACGCGCGCATGCGCGCACGCGCGCACACACGCACACGCGCACGCGCGCACTCACGCACACACGCGCACACGCACGCACGCTCATCCGCATGCACGCACGCGCGCGCACACGCACACGCGCGCGCACGAGCGCGCACGCGCACGCACGCACGCACACACGCACGCACGCGCACACGCACACAGGCACACACGCGCACACGCACACACGCACGCACGCACACACGCACACACGCACACACGCACGCACCCACACGCATACGCGCGCACACATGCACATGCCCTCGCACGCACACGCACGCGCGCACACACCCGCACGCGCACGCGCACGCACGCGCGTGCACTCACGCATTCGCGCACGCACGCACGCGCGCGCGCAGTCACGCGCGCATTCGCGCGCGCGCACGCGCGCGCGCGCCCGCGCGCCCCCGCGCCTGCGCACCTGCGCACCCGCGCGCCCGCGCGCCCCGCAGCCGCGCGCCCGCGCGCGCCGCGCGCCCGTGCACCCGCGACCCGCGCGCCCGCGCGTCCGCGCACCCGCTTACCACCTGCGCGCCCGCGCAGCCTCGCAGCCGCCAGTTCGCGCGCCCGCGCGCCCGCGCAGCCGCGCAGCCGCACAGCCGCGCAGCCGCGCAGCCGCGCAGCCGCGCGGCCGCGCGCCGCGCACCGCGCCGCACCGCCCGCGCAGCCGCGCGCCCGCGCAGCCGCGCGCCCGCGCGGCCGCGCGCGCGCACGTGCGCGCGCACTTGCGAGGCGCGCGCGCCCGCGCGCCCGCGCGCCGCGCACCCGCGCGCGCCCGCGCACGCGCGCACGCGCGCGCGCACGCGCGCACGCGCGCTCGCGCGCCCGCCCGCGCGCCCGCGTGCTCGCCAGCGCGCGCGCCCGCGCGCCCATCCGTCCGCGCACGCATGCATGCACGCACGCGCACACGCACGCACGCACACACACACACACACACGCGCACGCACAAACGCACACGCGTACGCACGCACACGCACCCGCGCGCATACGCACGCGCGCACGCGCGCGCAGGCGCGCGCGCGCACGCACTCACACACGCACACACGCGCACGCACGCACACACAAACACACACACACGCACACACGCCTACACACGCCTACACACACGCCCGCACGCACGCACGCACTCACGCACGCCACGGACGGACGCGCGCGCGGACGGGCGCGCGCGCGCAGGCACGCACGCGCGCATTCGCGCACGCGCATGCGCGCCCGCACGCGCGCACACGCGCTCACACGTGCGCGCGCACACGCGCGCGCGCACACGCGCACGCTCGCGCGCGCGCGCTCGCGCCCGCACCCCGCGCACGCATTCGCTCACGCACGCGCACGCGCGCGCGCTCACGCCCGCGCGCCCGCCCACCCGACGCGCCGCCCTCCCGCGCGCCCGCCCGCCCACCCGCCCGCGCGCCGCCCGCGCGCCCCGCCCGCCCGCCCGCCGCGCCCGCCCGCCCTCCCACGCCCGCCCACCGCCCACCCCACCCACGCAACCCACCCACGCACGCACCCACCCACCCACGCCCGCCCACCCGCACACAAACACACGCGCACACACGCACGCACCCACGCGCGCGCACGCACACACGCACACGCACACGCACACACACACACACACCACACACCGCACACCACACACACGCACACCACACACCGCACACCACACACACGCACACACACACACACCACCACACGCCACGCACCACGCACCACGCACGCACGCGCGCACGCGCGCGCACGCACGCACGCACGCACGCACGCACGCACACGCACGCACGCACACACGCACGCACGCACACGCACGCACGCACGCGCACACACGCATGCACGCACGCGCGCGCGCACGCTCGCACGCACACGTACACGCGCACGCGCGCACGCACGCGCACGCGCACGCGCACACGCGCGCGCACGCGCACGCGCACACGCGCGCGCACGCGCACGCGCACGCGCGCACGCACACGCACTGGCACACGCACACGTACGCGCCCACGCACACGCACGCACGTGCACGCACGCTCACGCGCACACGCACACGCACACGCGCACGCGCACGCACACGCACGCGCGCACGCGCACGCACGCGCACGCGCACGCGCACGCGCACACGGCACACGCGCGCGCACACGCGCGCGCACACGACCATGCATACGAACACGCACGCGCACACGCAAACGCACACGCACGCGCACGCGCACGCACGCGCGCACCCACGCGCACGCGCACACGCACACGCACGCGCACGCGCGCACGCACACGCACACGCACACCTACGCGCGCACCCACACGCACGCGCGCACGCACGCGCGCACGCGTGCGCACACGCACACGCACACGCATAAGCACGCGCACACGCGCGCGCACATGCACGCCCGCACCAACGCGCACAGGCACGCGCGCGCACATGCGCGCGCTTTTTGTTGCGTCGGCGGCTTGGCACAGGGCGCCTTTTCGGTGGGTGGGCGACAGGGAAACGCGCGCACACGCACACGCACACGCACATGCACACGCACGCGCGCGCGCACCCGCATACGCACACGCACGCGCACGCGCGCACGCGCGCACGCGCGCGCACGGGTGCGCACCCACGCACCTACGCACCCACGCACCCACGCACCCACGCACCCACGCACCCACGCACACACGCACACACACGCACACACACGCACGCACGCACGCACACGCACACGCACGCGCACACGCGCACGCACACGCACACGCACACGCACACGCACACGCACACGCTCGCGCACACGCGCACTCGCGCACTCGCGCACGCGCACCCACGCATCCACGCACCCACGCACCCACGCACCCACGCACCCACCCACCCACGCACCCACGCACCCACGCACCCACGCACCCATGCACCGAAGCACCCACGCATCCACGCAGCCACGCACTCACGCACCCACGCACGCGCGCACCCACGCGCCCGCGCACCCACGCGCCCACGCACCCGCGCACCCACGCATCCACGCACCCACGCACCCACGCACCCACGCACCCACGCACCCACGCACCCGCGCACCCGCGCACCCACGCGCCCACGCACCCGCGCACCCGCGCACCCGCGCACCCACGCGCCCACGCACCCACGCGCCCACGCACCCACGCTCCCACGCATGCGCGCACGCACGGACGCACGCGCGCCCGCCCGCCTGGCCGCCATCGCGCCTGCCCGCCCGCCCGCCCGTCCGCGCGCCCGCGCGCACGCACGCACGCGTCTGCGTAATATCAGATTTTCCCAGTGCGACCTTACCTAGGAGTTGGAGTCTCTAGGAAAGCAACATTAGTAGGATCGGTAAACGCCGTCCTCCTGCTATATATATATATATATATATACACATATATATACATATATATATATACATATATACATGGATATAACAGCAGCAATAGTGGATGCTGTGCTGCGCTGTGCTATGCTGTGCTATGCTTTGCTATGCTCTGCTATGCTATGCGATGCTATGCTATGTTATGCTGCGCAATGCTATGCTGGGCTAGGCTAGGCTATGCTATGCTCTGCTATGCTATGCCATGCTATGATATGCTGCGCTATGCTATGCTGCGCTATGCTGCGCTATGCTATGCTATGCTATGCTATGCTATGCTATGCAATGCAATGCAATGCAATGCTATGCAATGCTATGATTTTGCTTTGCCTTCGCTTTTGCCTTCACTTTTGCCTTTGCTTTTGTTTTCGCTTGGCACCCAGGGGCGCAACTGGGGGAAACGCGCGTTTGCTTTTACCTTTGCTGTTGCTTTTGCTTGGCTCCCAAGGGGCGCAACTGGGGGAACCGCCCGGGGCGAGCCCCACTGCCCGGCCCCTTTGGGCAAACAGAGTAAGAACCCTTCTAGGCAGAGCCTAGGTAGGGAACAACCAGATATTACGCTCTATTTCACGGAGGGAGATTTTCACCAGTGTTTCGCCCCTTTTTTCGTGCCCACTTCCCGGGTCCTCCACAAGGCCTCCAGACGGCCGTAATACAGCCTCATATGCCCCCAAGACGGCCTAGGAGGTCCCAAGATGAGCCGAAGACGGCCCGAAAGGGCACCAAGAGCTTTCAAGATGGCCTCAGTACGGCTCAAGAGGTTGCTGAGACGCCCCAGGAGAGCTGCTCCGTAACCATTTTGGCTTAAGCTGTGGCGGCCCAAATATCCAGCTGCGACCCGAGCGAGCTCCGAGACTACCCCGCTTGGCAAGGCTGCTTGCAGTGGCTCCGAACGTGGCAATGCTTGTGTTCACGAGGCTCGCTTTGGCTGCTGGTATAGCGGTGGCGACGGCTGGGGAGACAGGATCCAAGCTTGGCGTCACCGATGGCCCCGCGTATTACAACAAGGCGAATTTGCGATTGGGCGGCGTAGACCACATCACGCGGTTGGGGGAATCGTGTGGTTTTATGGACGCCGCATACCAGTCCATTGCCATCAAGCACGTGAACATGCGGGACTCCAGTTGGTGCAAGGCTATCGACGACCTGTCCGCGGACTGGGATATTTCTTTGGTTCTGATGGACGCGACCGAGCAAGCAGAAGGTGATGCGCCGCCGAAGGCAGCGCTGTCTGCTGGACTGAAGTTGGTCGGCTCATCGGACGACGCCCAGGCTCCGTTCATGAGCTGGGTAGGCACCAGCGTGGCACCGTGGAACGAGTCCAACTTTTCGGGCGCGGACAATAACATTTTGCCCGTGCACGGGATCCTGGGCCCATCGTACAGCGGCACCACCATGAAGACCAGTTCGTTTTTCTCAAGTTTTAACGTGCCCATCATGAGCTCTTACGCCACCAACCCCGCCATGTCCCAGAAGACGGGCAACAGCGCGTACCCCAACTTCTGGCGCACTTGCCCCCCGGACTCTTTGAAGATGGGTTTGGTGGCCGCCTGGCTGAAGTCGTGGGGCATTTCCAGGGTGTTCGTGGTCACCATCGACGACAGCTTCCCCATTGGCATGCGGGACGCGTTGCAGGGGTACTGCCCTACTTACAATATGACCTGCGTGCTCGCGAGCAGCCTGGTGCCCGCCGCCGCCGAGGCACAAACCGACGAGTTCTTGAATAGTCTGATGGACGAGTTCGCGGCCTCGGGAACTAGAACCATCGTGCTCAACGGCCTGGTGGCGCAGAACGCGAAGATCATGCAGAAACTGAACGCCCGAGGCCTATCCAACGGCGACGACGGTTATATCGTCGTCCACCCAGAAAAAGTCGGTCTAACTGAAGTCGACTTTGAGGGGGCGTTCGCGGTGCTGCCCAGCCACGAGATACCTGCCGCGTGGCTGGAATCGTACAGCATGGAACCGCCGCTGACAGCAAAAGTAAAGTCGTGGGTGAATGCTGGCGGATTTCTGAACGACTCCTTTGTGCAAACTGCTATCGAGCAGTCACCTCTGTGCGGCACGCAGCAGAACGTGCTGTGCGACAGCACCAGCATCGGCTACAACGGCATGATGGGCCCACCGGATTCTGAAAGGGCAAGCGTCGCGCATTTTACGTGGCCCGCGGTGAATCAGGACTTCAGTGCTTGCAGCGAGTATAGTCCGTTATCGTACGACTCGGTGGTGTCCTACGCGGCTGCGTTCGACATTGGGTTGCGTTTAAACGCGCTAGGCCACGCCCAGGGCTTCGACAAGGACTCGGTGACTTCAGGGAAGCTGATGGAGATGCTGAACATCCTGACCCAGGGCGTAGATGTGGCTGGCGACCCTGTGATGCTCGATAAGGATGGCGACGGCGTGCCGGACACCCACGTGAAGCAATTTTACGGGACTTGTCTCGGCTCGGGTGGGCCCATCGGGTTCGAGTGGCGCGACGGCATGCGGCAGGAGCGCAGCTCCCACTTCTCCGTGGTCAACTACCGGAAAGCGTCTGCAGATGCCTCGACGCTGACCAATTACGAGACGTGGGACTTGTACAGCGCGACGCCTGAGGATCTCGCGACTTGGACGCCCAAGCCGCGGGCTGAGAATCTCGCGGGCGTCAAGTTCGGGACGGGGACACAGCTGGGCTTCCCCCGACCCGAAGGCGCGTTGCTGGGCATGCCTCCGGTGTGCCCACCAGGGCAGTATCTGGATGCCGACGTCGGAGACTGCACCTTCACCAGCGCCGGCTTTTACCAGCCACTGGAAGGGCAAGACTCCCAACTGGAGTGCCCACCAGGCACATCTTGCGAGAGCGGCGGGTGCGCGGATCAGTGCAACCCGTGCCCGCCAGGGCAGTTTCAGAGCCAGAGTGGCCAGGCGACCTGCGAGCCGTGCCCCGCGGGGTCCACCACGGGCACGCCGGGCTCTTCGATTTGCTCGCCGTGTCCGCCGGGCGAGTTCGCAGCTCTGGAGGGGATGGACTCGTGTGCTTCGTGCGCGATTGGACAGGTGCAGACTGCGGAGGGACAGACCTCGTGCGAGGATTGCCCATCGGATCGGACCACGTTCGAGAAATCTGCCTCGCTGTTCGCGAGTTGCTTGTGTGTCGAGGGGACGATGGAGCCAGTAAAGCCCGTTCTGGTTGATGGTGATGTGGCGACCAAAGATGATCTCCCCGCCTGCCAGGAGTGCCCGGAAGGTTTCGAGTGCCCACTGGGCTCGTCCTTCACAGACGCTCTGGGCGAGAGCCACGATCTATATGGATACGTGGAGCCGGACGCAGAGCAGCTGAACATCATCAATGTGTCGAGACCGAACATGGCCGTCGCCGAGGGGTACTACCTGGCGGCGGACTACAAGAGCTCGGCGGGCTCGGCCTCCGACCAGTTGGCGCTGAACATCTACCTGTGCGATGGACTGGGCATTCAGCGGCTGAGTCAGGAGGGATACGTGAGTTCTTGCCCGGGCGGGCCCGCCGACGCGTGCAGAGACGGCCGTGAAGGCATCGCGTGCGCTAAGTGTGCCGATGGCTCGTACACCACTATCGACGGTCCCTGCGCTGAGTGCGATGGCTGGGAGCCAGCCATTCTGGTTTTTGTGATCTTGGCGGGCTTTGCTGCGGTGGTGGCCAGCTACTACTTCATCAATGGACCGCTCGACGGTCAGATGTCGCCGCTCATGGTTTTGGCGATGTGCGCCGGGACGTTTGTGATGACGATGCAGTCGTGTGCGGCATTGTCATCGCTGTCGATCTCGTTTCCGAATGGCCTTGGCGGGCTTTTCGCCGGGACACGGCTGTTCGCGTTGGACCTCAGAGTGCTCAGACCAGAGTGTTCTTTGGGCTCTTCCGTGATCGCAAGCTACGCGCTGAAAGTGGGGTTGCCCTGGTTCCTGTTTGCGTTGTTCGGCGTGCTGTGCGCACTGAGCAAATTGCTGCCAGAGCGGTTGCAGTGGGAGTCTACAAAAACGTTCAACACCGTGTGCAACTTCTTCCAGGCCGCATTCATCACAATCATCCTCACCGTAATCGGGCCCTTCCGCACCTTTGCGCACCCCGGCAAGGGCGACCGCAGCAGCATGCTGAGCAGCCCGGACATCGACACCGTGAGCGAGACGTACGCTGGGCTCGTCGCTTTTGCGGTCTTTGGCCTCCTGCCTTGCTTTCTTTTCCTCGCGTTATATGTGTTCTCCGTGAAGAAGTCGCCCGCATGGCGCGAGAACAACATGACCAAATATCTGCAGGCCATCAAGTTCGTGCTGTTCCGCTTCGAGGCCCACGCCTACTACTGGGGCTTGTGCTTTCTGGCGCGGTCAACGGCGGTAAGTGTAATCACGTTGCTGCCCAGCCCGTTCGTGCAGCTGCAGCTGCTGTCGGTGGTGATGGTAGTGTACTTGGTGGCCCTGTGCTTGGTTTGGCCGTGGAAGGCGCCAGTGGTGAACGCGCTGGACGCGCTGCAGACCACGCTGCTGCTCGTCATACTGCTGGCGGCCACCAGGCTCGTGGGCGCGGACAACGGCGGCGAAGACGCTGGGGCCGTGACGGGCCTGATCAGCACCTGCTACGCGGTGTTGCTGGTGGCGTTCGGCACCGCCGCGCTCCTTGTCTTGCGTGGGAAGCTCGACATGGGTGACAAGACGGGTGACAAGACGGGTTCCGACAGCGTCCCCGAGAACCGTGGCGCCGAGACGGGTGCCGATGTCGTCGAGGAGGACCAGGCCGCGGAGGTTGATGAGAAGCCAGCGGACGAAACTGACGAGGGTATTGAGGGTAATCCAATCGCTGACGAAGCTCGCATGGAGGTCGCCACCCAGATATGAACGGCGGGTTGGCCGGCAGGACTGATGACCTCCTGAGGTTTATTCATCTTTGCGTTGCCTGGTATGGATGGAGTCGCAGTAGTTTTTCCGGAGGTTTACATCGCTTGTGTAACCCGGCAGCGCGCTTCCAACCCCACGCGGGCTTCTCTACACCTTGGGCGGCGCGCGCTAGTTCGAGCAGAGGTCGCCGCAGGTCGGCTTCTGATTTTCCCTTATCGCGCACACTGTTTCTTTCACCGCCTTTTCTTCGAATGCAGCGCGCATCTCCATCTCTTGATGACGACGCTGTGGCTTCTTGTGTATTTTTGGCAGTGGCGAGGCTGAGGATAGCGAAGCGCTTGGCAGCACCGCAGCATTCCAAATTGCTTGGTCAGGCACAGGGGAAGCGTTGAGGGAGGGGGGAGATGGGGAGATGTGACCTTGCATAATATACTTTGTTCCCTATGACCACACTTGCTCGCTTGTGCGATAGGCACTTATGGCTCCCCGTGCCAGAAAAAAAGACGCCCCAGAAGAGCACCCCGCGCGTCCCAAAGAGGCTTCGAGCAGGCCAAAAGCATTGATGGTCTTTAGGTTTTTCAAGGGTTTTTACGATATCGCTCTTCCTGTCTTCCGATCGCTCAAGACGGCCCACGGGGCCTCCCAGAGGCCCCCAAGAGAGCGCCAAACCAGTCTCAGGGCCGCAGGACGGCCCCAGAGGTCGCCGGGAGGCACCCCAGGAGAGCGCCACAACGGCCCAAGAGGGCCGCAGGACGGCCCAAGAGGTCGTCCGGAAGGGCTCCAAGAGACCGCACGAGGCCTCAAGACCGCTCAGGAGCGCCCACCGACGGCACAGGAACACGCCATGGCGACAGAAGAGGCCTCAGGACCCCCCAGAAGCCTCAGGACAGAAACGCATACACGCACACACAACACACAGCACACAACGCACAACACACAGCACACAACACACAACACACAACACATACCACACAACACACAACACACAGCACACAACACACAACACACTACACAACACACAGCACACAAAACACAACCCACAGCCGAAACACAACACATAACACACAACACACACCACACCAAACAAGACACAGCACACAGCACAACACACAGCACACAACACACAACACACAGCGCACACCACACAACACACAGCACACATCACAACACACAGCACACAACACACAACACACAGCACACAACACACAACACACAGCACACAGCAGACAGCATACAACACACAACACAACACATAACACACAGCACACAGCGCACAGCACACAGCACACCACACACAACACAATGCACAACACACAACACACAACACACAACACACAACACACAACACAACACACAACACACAACACACAACACACAACACACAACGCACAGCACACAACGCACAACACACAACACAACACACAACACACAACACAACACACAACACACAACAAACAACACACAACACAGCACACAACACACAACACACAGCACACAACACATACCACACAATACACAGCACACAACCCACAACACACACCACACCACACAACACACAGCACACAGAACACAACACACAGCACACAACACACAGCACACAGCACACATCACAACACACAACGCACACCACACAACACATCACACAGCATTCAAGACACGACACACAGCACACAGCACGCAGCACACTACACAGAACACACAACACACAACACACAACACACAACACAAAGCACACAGCACACAGCGCACAATTCACAGCGCACAGAACACAACACACAGCACACAGCACACAACACACAACATTCAACACATAACACACAACGCACAACACACATCACACAGCACACAACACACAACACAGAACACACAACACACCACACAGCACACAACACATAACGCACAACACACAACGCGCAACGCACAACACACACCACACAACACACAACACACATCACGCAAGCCACAACACACACCACACAGCACACACCACACAGCACACGACACACAGCACACAGCACACACCACACGACACACAGCACACAGCACGCAGCGCACAGCACACAGCACACAACACACACCTCACAACACACAACACACAACACACCACACAACACACAACGCACAACACACAACACACAGCACACAACACACAACGCAGCACACAGCGCACAACACACAGCCCACAACATAACACACAACGCACAACACACAACACACAACACACAAGACATCACACACAGCACACAGCACACAGCACACAACACAGAACACGCACCACAACACACAACGCACAACACACAGCACACAGCACACAACACATAACGCACAACACACAACACAAAGCAAACAGCACACAACACACCACACAACACACAGCACACAACACACAACACACAACACACAGCACACAACACACATCACACAACACACAGCACAACACACACCACACACCACACATCACAACACATACCACACAACACACAACCCACAGCACACAGCACACAGCACACAACTCACCACACACAACACGCACCACACAACACACAACACACAACACACAACACACAGCACACAACACAGCACACAACACACAGCACACAGCGCACAACACACAACACACAGCACACACCACGCACCACACAGCACACATCACAACACACACCACACAGCACACAACACACAGCACACACCACACGACACACACCACACAACACACAGCACACAACACACAGCACAGAACACACAGCACACAGCGCACAACACACAACACAGCGCACAAACCACAACACACGACGCACACCACACAACACGCAACACACACCACATACCACACAACACACAACACACAGCACACAACACAACACACAACACAACACAACGCACAGCATACAACACACAACACACAACACACAACATATTACACACAACACACATCACACATCACGCAACACACAACGCACCACACAACACTCAGCACACAAGACACCACACCACACAACACACAGCACAAAACACACATCACACAGCACACATCACAACACACAACACACAACATACCACACGCAGCACACAACACACAACACACGAAACACAACCCACAACACACAACACAACACACACCACACAACACAGAACACACAACGCTCAACGCACACCGCACAACACACAACACACAACACACAGCACACAGCACACAGCACACAACACGCAGCGCACAGAACACATCACACAGCACACAGCACACGACACACACCATTCAACACACAACACACAACACACAGCACACAGCACACAGCACAACACACAACGCACAGCACAACACACAACACACAACACATAACACACAACACACAACGCACAACGCACAACACACAACACACAACACAACACACAGCACGCTAACCACAACACACAACATACAACACACAACACACAACACTCAACACACAGCACACATCACAACACACATCACAGCTCACAACACACAGCACACAACACACACCACACGACACACAGCACACAACACACAACACACAACACACAACACAATACACAACGCACAACACACATCACACAGCACACAACACATAACACAGAACACACAACACACAGCACACAACACACAACACACCACACACAACACACATCACACAACACACAACACACATCACACAAGACACAACACACATCACAACACACAACACATACAACACAACACACAGCACACAACACACAACACACAACACACGACACACAGCACGCAGCACACAGCACAATACACAACACACAACACACAACACACGGCACACTACACACAACAGACAACACAGAACACAACACAACACACAACACACAACACATAGCACACAACACACAGCACACAGCACAGAACCACCCACACACGCACATACCCACCCACGCACCCACACACCCGCACACCCACACACCCACACACCCACACATCCACACATTCACGCACCCACGCACCCACGCACCAAACACCCACATTCCGACATTCCCACACACCAACCCACCTACCCACCAACCCACCCACCCATCCACCCACAAAGCCACACACCCATACACCCACACACCCCCACACCCTCACACCCCCACACCCTCACACCCCCACACCCCCACACTCTCCCCCTCCCCCGCCCCCGCCCCCACCCCCACCCCCACACCCACACCCACATCCTTGTTTTTTATTATTATATACCCCCACCTACCTCGTATTCCGGCCGATAGCAACCCGATCCGGGACTTCCCATCCGGACTGTAAAAGATCAATACAAAGTGGCTGTTTTTCTTCTCAACATCGTCTTTCTTGTCGTCGACGGTGCGAAAAGCGTGGCATGAATGGGACGCGGCGCACATCGCGCGCGGCAGTCAATCTGGGCCCGCCCATCCTGACTGTAAAAAATCAATACAAAGACTTCGTATTTTCATCTCAGCATGGCCTGCCTTGTCGCCGACGGTGCGAAATATGTGGCATCAATGGGACGCGGCGCACATCGCGCGCGGACGTCCATGCGGGCTGCGGGCCCGCCCATCTTGATTGTAAAAAACAATACAGTTGCCGTTTTTCCTCTCATCATGGCCTGTCTTGTCGTCGACGATGCGAAGTGCGTGGCGGGAATGGGACGCGGCGCACATCCCGCGCGGACGTCAACGCGGTGTCCTGGGGTATCCTCTACTCGCACTGAAATGCCCGCGCAGCCCCCAGTTGTGCCATCACTGTTTCTTATGTTGTGGGAGGGCGGGTGGGAATGGGCATGCCATGCTTGACTCGCTCGAGCTGGCTAGCTTGACCCACACCCACACCCACACCCACACCCACACCCACACCCACGCCCACACCCACACCCACTCCCACACCCAGACCCACACCTACACCCAGACCCACACCCACACCGACACCCACACCCACACCCACACCCACACCCAGACCCAGACCCACATTTTTTTTTTTTTTTTTTTTTTTTTTTTTTTTTTTTTTTTTTTTTTTTTTTTTTTAAAAAAAAAAACAAAACAACATATTATATACCCCCACCTACCTCGTATTCCGGCCGATAGCGACCCAATCCGGGACCTCCCATCCGGATTGTAAAAAATCAACACAAAGTGGCCGTTTTTTCTCAACATCGTTTTTCTTGTCGTCGACGATGCGAAAAACGTGGCAGGAATGGGACGCGGCGCACATCGTGCGCGGCAGTCAATCTGGGCCCGCCCATCCTGACTGTAAAAAATCGATACAAAGTCTTCGTTTTTTCATCTCAGCATGGCCTGCCTTGTCGCCGACGGTGCGAAATATGTGGCAGCAGTGGGACGCGGCGCACATATGGGGCGCGGCGCACATCGCGCGCGGCCGTCAATCCGGGCCCGCCCATCCTGCCTGTAAAAAATCAATACAAAGTCTCCGCTTTTTCCTCTCAGCATGGCCTGCCTTGTCGCCGACGGTGCGAAATATGTTGCAAGAGTGGGACGCGGCGCGC